TAGTTGGACAGCATGGAAAATGTTCATTTCTAAATCAACATTAGCATCTTGCTACAGGATATAGTTAACTCCATGAGACTCCTAATTGTAAAATTGTAGGTGAGACTCCATGAGGCTTGCAGGTGAAAATGTGAGGCCATATTGGAGGGTAATAAACATGATGCTGGTTAGGCCAATCCCCACTGATGGCCATGAATTTCCTAACTTTAAATCAAACCTCTGTCAAGCATGCAGCCAATGATTACGCGTTATGATTCCTTGAAGGCATTTCATGATATAAGATTCCTTGTCAAGGATTAAATCTTTACACGTTATGATTTGATTCATGGGAGATACAATATTGTTTAAGTCAATTTTCAATGTGAATACATTTTTTAGGTTAACATATTTGTTTCCGCAGGGAACAAACGTGTGAAGGGTTAGAATCACAAATAAAATGAAAACATAGCTTGAAATTATTCTACCATATGGAACAGGTAACAAAGAACAGGTGGAACCATCTTTTCACACCATGGTGGGCAAAATCCAAATTGATGGTGGCATGTACTTCTGTGAAGGACTTGAAAAGTTGTAATTTGTTCCAAATTTTCTGTTGTCCAAATTGAAGACTGCCATGCCAAGAGGCTCTTGAACTTCATCACAAGCATCACCCACCCAATTATCAATGCAGAAGTATATGGAATTCGGATGACAACCCGGAAAGTCTAAAGCTGAGACACACATGGAGTGATTATTGCCACCCAAGAAAAAAGCATCGTTTCCAATACTATCAATCTCCTCAATCCGTTGGCTTCTGATTTTATCCCCACAATCAGAGAACAGCTTGAAAACCTTGAAGCTCAAAGTATCAGTAAAACACTCAACATAATTCAAACTTTGGAACTTCCTAACCAGCAATAGATCTCCCCTAGACGATTCCACAAGATATGCTTGGTCATCAATACCTTGAACCATTGGTACAACTATGCTTACATGAGGTTTATAAGTTGGATCCTTGCTAACGTTTATCGCAAAAACCCCACCCTCCCTACTAGCAGCAAGAAACTGGCCTCTGTAATAGATCACATCATCAAATCCGATCACTTGATTCAGACCATAAAAGAATCTGACCGTTTGATCTATGTGAGTCCAACCATGATCCCCTGACTTAATATGAGATACTCTGGTTCCATTGCGATCGAAAAGTGCCACAGCTTCGTAATCATTTGGAAACAAAGAAGGGTCTGCAGACAATACAACCTTCTTAATGTAGTGTGCACATCTATAAGCCTGTTTGTGTATGGATTGAGGGACTTCCTTGAATGGTGGAAGGCAAATGGTACTTTTGGTGAAAGGGTTTAAAAGGGTTACTTCCAAATTTTCATTCACATAAGCCAACCAACCATGGGAAGAACCGCAGAGCCTCTTATTGTATGGCACATGCAACTCAAAGCCGCAAGTCTTTCCTTGTGTGATACTATACAAGCCACGTCTTTCATGGCGGTTGTCTTTACTTGGAACCATCAGCATAGGAAGCTGCTTGTGACATGATTTGAGGCGCTGCTGCTTTTGATGACAAGCTACTGATTGCCAATGCTTGCAAACTGCACCAAACCGGATGGAGTCAGTGATTGGTATCAACTTCTCTACTATCAGATACAAAAGGTCGCTCGGGAGCCATGCCCAGCCTGAAACTACAGCTGATGATATTGCCTCTCCCATAGTATAGGACATAGCCTTTTTTTTTTTCTTTTTTTTTTTTTTGAAGCCTGCTTTGCGTTCGGTTTCATTGACAATTTATGAGGAACCAGAAGCTAACATTGTTGAATTGCCCTCCTGTTTTCCTGTGGAATATTCCCCTTCTAGCAAAACCGATGAAAATTATGATTTTTCTTTTTCCTTGTATGGCTCAACATATGATCAAATTAAATTGGAATTGGCTCCAAAACCAATAAGCTGGCAGCCTGGCATGCAACATAGTAAATTCATTAGCAAAGTGGCACTATGCTATCTCAGAAAGCGATATATCAAACGTCAAAAATCCCAAAAAGAATCATAGTTTGCAACACTGTCAGAAGATTTTTTTTCTCTGTAAATGTGGTAAACCAAAATAAAGAACCCCACAGCTAACAGTTTTGCATTTAAAATATCTCCGCATCCAAGTTTAGCAGCAACCCAGTTAGCCAATTTCATGATATTTGCTTTCTTTCTTTATTATTATATTTGGTGAGTATGGTTTTCCAACAGATATATGTATATATATATATATATAAGTTGAGTCACCTTTGCTGACTAAAATTATATATATAATCGTCCATATTTAAATATAATGACTTGGTGAAAATTAGACTACTGCCATATAAACTTTGCGTCTCTTGTATTTCAATTCACATTATACTTCCATTATCCATCTCAAAATTTTCTAACTTGTGTGGAATCTCTCCCTGCAGACTCAAGAGCTGTTCATTATAATTTATGTCAGTTCTTCCCCTAAAATGTGTTGCCGTGTAAGAACACATTGCTGTGTTTTATTATCATCTTCAAGGGTCATACAGAGTTGGAAGCTTGAAGTTATTCTGTTCTATAATATATATGGAAGAGGTACTGAAGAAAAAAACTGGAACCATCTTTTCACACCATAGAGGGCAAAATCCAAATTGCTGGTGGCATGTGCTTCTGCGAACGATCCAAGCAGTAATGCGTTCCCATGTGTCTGTTTTCCAAGTTGAAGACACCCATGTCATGAGGCCCTTTATGTTTATGGCATTCTACATCTACACAATCATCAGTGAGGTATATGGAATTTGTCTGACAACCCTGAAAGTCCAACGCAGAGACACACATGGATTGATTGGTACCCAAAAACAAAGCTTCATTTCCAACACTTTCAATCTCAACCCATTGGGGTCTCTCCCCATGAGCACAGAACAGCTTGAAAACCTTGAAGCTCAGAGAACCATTTACTCATTCAAACTTTAACCTTTCAAACTTGAAAAACTTGAAGTTGAGAGACTTCATAAAGCGCTTACAATAATTTACTCGTTTGAACTTCCTAACCAGCAAAATATCTCCCTGGGATGATTGCACAAGGTACGTTTTATTGTCAGTGCCTGGAGCCATTGGCACAAGTAAGCTTACATGGGGTTTAGTAGTTTGATCCCTGCTAACATTCATCGAAAAAACACTACCACCCAAACTAACACCTAGAAACTGGCCTTTATAATTAATTACATCATCGAATCCAATCACTTAATCTATGCTAGTCCAAGCATCATCCCCTGACTTAAAACGGGCTACTTGTTTCCCATAGCCATCATAGATGACCAATACTTCATAGTCATTAGGAAGAAAAGAAGGGTCTGCAGACAATACAACTTTATTAATGTAGTAATCACATCTATAAGCTACCGTCTATCTACAAGTGGATTTGGGGACTGGTGGAAGGCAAATGGTACACCTGGTGAAAGGGTTTAAGAGGGTTACTACCAGATTCTCATCCACGCAGGCCAACCAACCATGGGAAGAACCACAAAATCTCTTACTGTAATACACATTCAACTCAAAAGCTACAAGTCTTACCTTGTGTGACAATACACAAGCCACGCCTTTCGCTACTGTCTATGGTGGGAATGATGAACATAGGAATCTGCTTGTGACATGATTTGAGGCGCTGCTTCTTGCGATGTAAAGCGACTGATTGCCAATGCTTGCAAACTGCACTAAATCGGATATAGTCAGAGATTAGGATACTTTTCTAGAATCAAATCCAGAATGTTGCTTGGAAGCCATGCCCAGCCTGAAACTAAGGTTGGGGCATCTTCCATTGTGCTACATTTAACTTATTTAGGTGGCTAGCTTGGAATTGGTTTACATTGACAATTTATGAGGAATCAAGAGGCTTTCCTTAGGCTACAGTTCCTCAGGCATGAGAATTGGTGAGCTGTCCTCCTCAGTTACGGCATTGGAATATTCCCCCTTTCCAGCAAAACAGTTGAAATTGTGATTGTTTTTCCTTGTATATACGGTTCAATATGGTCATGTGTGATTTAGAATCTTTTTCCTTGTATATATGGTTCAACATGGTCATGTCTAATTTAGAATTTTAGAAGGTTTCAAAAGTAGCAAGCGGGCCTGTTAAATAATAATAAATTAACTAATAACTAGCTTCACGGCATAAGGTTGGAGACGGCATCATAAGCCGATCGAAAACTGGCCTTTATGATATGATAATCTTGTACTAGTAACTATCGTATCCATGTGAGTCCAAGTGTCATCCCCTCCCTTAAAATGGGATACTTCGCTTACTACTGTATAAAAGTCATGATTGCGTTAACTATCCCGTTAGTGGGGTGTTAGGGTTTTCTTTTCTTTTTTAATTGAGAGTAAATTGGAAATTTGTTTTTAGGTTGATGTGTCAACTTTTAAATCCTTATATTAAATTTTAATGAGGTGGCGTATAAAGAATAAAAATAAAACAGATCATGGCAAAGAAAATCGAAGCAGAGGATTCGAATCTGATGAGTATACAAGCTACAAAGGATCACTTTTAGGGTTTTGAGGGAAGTTCTTTATTTTAGGGCCTCTAAGCTGGCCCAATATCTGACCGATTCGATGACTTGGCTAGACTAGTTCGAGTTGTCATTCCCCTAAAACCTATGTTGCATGGACATGGATACGGGGACACAGAAATGTGATACGATGACACGGCGACACAGCTAGGACACGGCAATTAAAATAATAATAAATTATATATATTTAAAAAATAATTCATATTCAATATTTTAAATACAATTTTTTTTTAATAAAAATATTTTTTATGAGCAATTTTAAGAAATGAAACTGCCATTAATATCTCACTTTCACCCATTTTCTTATACTCTTCATCCCTTTCAAAAAGGGGTATGGTAGTTAAAATGTACAATAATATTTTAAATCATTACAAAAAACTTCAAATTATCTAAAACAAAAAACAAAGTATCATCAGACCCTACCCCACCTCCCCATTCTCTCTTTCTCTCTCTCTCTCACATCGCAACCCTCCTCCGCATCTCCCTTTTTCCCCGGTTCACCTTGTCCCTCCCTTTTGCCTCTTTTTTTTAATTCAATTGGGAAAGTTTCAAGCAGAGGCTTCAGTTGCAACTGTGATTGTGGGTGGGTTCAGCTCTCTCTCTATCTCTCCCTTCTATGGTTATTTTCTCAATCTCTCTGGTTCTCAATCGGGTAAGTTTCAAACAGAGGCTTCTATGTTCAGCAATCTTCAATCTCTTCCTTCTCTGAGATAGAGTTTTTATTTTTTAAATTGCAACAGAATCCCCGCCGTGTCTTGACCTTGGGTTGACCGTGTCCCCAGCGTATCTTGACCGTGTCCAAAGCTTATCGTATCCAAACGAGTATCCAATACGGTATACGCCACTAAATTGGCGTATTCATACCCTTCAAAAATTTCCAGGAAAAAAAACCTTCAAAATTCAAGAAACTCGTCCTAAACCCCAAAAACCTTGTTCAGCCAGCAATAGAAATGTCTGTCTCCTTCACTTCCTCTCAACTCTTCTTTCACAAACCTCTCTTCTCTGTAAGTCTCTCTCTCTCTCTCTCTCTCTCTCTCTCTGTGTTTGTTATCGTTTTGGGCTAATGGTTTGTATTGCAGCTGCAGAGCCTTTTTGAGAAGCAACGAGCACCTGGGTTTTGGAGAAGGCCACAGACTTTGAGGAGTCTTGTGGTCAGAGCAGGCCCAAAGAAGATATCTTTTGGTACAGAAAGCAGGGAGGCCTTACAAGCTGGGATAGATAAGCTTGCTGATGCTGTTTCTCTGACCTTAGGACCTAAAGGTATCTGTCTTTTCATCTTTTTTCATTATTAACTCTTTCCAAAGCGTATTGTCTTCTAATCTATTATGATGTATTTTCTTATCTTGTACTAGTAGAGACCCATGTAAATGAAGTTGCTCATTTGTTGCATCACATACAAAGAGTCGTGATTGTTTGTTGCCATATTTTAGGAGTTGTAGTAAACTTTTTGAATTCAATCAGTGTAGCTAGTATTATATGATACCTTTCTTTCTTTAGTTGGAGGCTGACCATTTAATTGCATGGTTTTGCTAAATGTTGGTTTGTTGTCATACCAAAAAGATTCATAGTTGATTTAGTTGGTCGACCCTTCAGTTTATCTGGAATAATCATGACACATACTATTCCAACGACTTGGAAGTGTTTCACATATGAGACAAATTGAGGCCTACGTGAATCTTATTGGCGATGCTATGTGATATGAAACTAAAAGATGCACCAAATTGAGAATAATGCAAATTGTTTTTGGGTTTAGACTTTTGTAAATAATTAAGTGGTGATTCCATTTACACTAGCATTGTTGATTGATCTTAAGTGAAACATGCAGGACGTAATGTTGTTCTTTCTGAGTCTGAAACACTGAAAGTGATTAATGATGGTGTAACAATTGTTCAATCCATAGAGCTATCAGATACAATTGAGAACGTCGGAGCAATGCTAATCCAAGAGGTCATACATAGTTGCTAGATAGTTATCTTACAGAAGCTTATGTTGGTGCATTTCCAAGCATAAAATTATAACTTTTAGATCTTTACTGTCTTACTTGCAGGTTGCAAGTAAAATGAATAGTTTGGCTGGTGATGGTACCACCACAGCAATCATTTTGACAAGGGAAATGATCAAAGGTGGACTGTTGGCAGTAGCTTTTGGGGCAAACCCGATTTCTTTGAAGAAAGGAATGGATAAGACTGTGAATGAATTGGTCAAGGTCTTGAAGAAGAAGAGTCTTCCCGTAAAAGGAAGGAAAGATATTAAAGGTGGTCATTTCTTGTCATTCAAATTACACTAGATTAGAATCACTTTTGAAGTGTTCTTTAGTTTCTCTTATTTCTTTTAGATACAGTACAATATTTATAGCGTTTTCCCCTTTTTGCAGCTGTGGCCTCAATTTCTGCTGGAAATGATGAATTCATAGGGAACTTGATTGCTGAAGCTATTGATAAGATTGGCCCCGATGGAGTAATCTCAATTGAGTCATCCTCATCATTTGAAACGTCTATTTTAGTTGAAGAAGGACTGAAGGTAATTAAAATGATTTTCTCCCAGTGAAAAAGATGACAAAGTCTATAAACCTATGAATTAAAAATTGAACTATTCTGATTATGGGAATTTTCATAGGGAAATGATCAGATGGCAACACACACACACACACACATATATATGTATGTAGTTCTTTTTGAAGTCTTATAGATAATTTTTAAATGTTAAATATCACAAAGGAAATCTCATACTAGAGCTAGAGTTAGGCTTTGGTTGATTGTTTTATTTCTTTAATTTCTGTTAGAAGTCTTGTTTAAACAACAAATATTTCAAGTGAATTGGTTTGTGGTTTGTACATCTTTCGAGTATTTCTTAGTACCCATTCTTATGCATGCATTGAATCTATTATTTTTTGTCCAGTACAGTTTGACAAGGGGTACATGTCCTCCCACTTCATTACCAACCAGGAAAGATCTGTTGTGGAGTTTGACAAAGCTAAGGTCCTAGTAACTGATCAAAAGATTTCTACTGTTAAAGAAATTGTTCCTTTACTGGAAAAGACAACCCAATTGAGTATCCCGCTACTAATCATTGCAGAGGATATCTCAAAGCAAGTTCTGGAAACATTAGTGGTGAACAAAATGCAGGGTTTACTTAATGTTGCTGTTGTTAAATGTCCTGGATTTGGAGAGGGAAAGAAAGCTCTTTTGCAAGACATTGCACTTATGACAGGTAAACATATTTAGTATATGCCAACCTTTAGCCGTCTTTCTTACACACATCCAGCTATATAATTATGAGAGAATGTGATGCAAGCACCATTTACTAACATGGCATTTGATGATTACATAAATTTTATTTATCAAAAATATTAATATGCTTGTTACAAAGATTTTAAGAGAGTTCAATAAAAACCCCAAATAAAAAACCTTTCAAGGAAACAGGAAGATCAAGTTATTCACTTCAAATTCCGTAGCTGCTATTAAGGTCTATAAAACGACGTGTCAGACTACTAACATTTCTGCATGAAAATATAACAGTATTTGTTATGCTTCTTCTCATAAGAAAATAATTTGCGTTGCAACTTTCAGGTGCTGATTTTCTCTCTGGAGATTTTGGTCTGACCCTTGAAAGTGCAACATCAGATCAACTTGGAGTTGCAAGAAGAGTGACAATAACAAGTAATTCAACAACAATAGTTGCTGACCCTTCTACTAAAGCCGAGATTCAGGCAAGAATATTGCAGATCAAGAAGGATCTGGCAGAAACAGAAAATGCATACCTGTCGAGAAAGCTCTCTGAAAGAATTGCCAAACTTTGCGGTGGAGTTGCCGTAATTAAGGTCTGTGATATGAAAGAGCTACAAAATCTAATATCATGTGTGTATAAAATGTTTTTTTTTTTTAATTTATTCATGTGTTTTTTAGTGTTCTTTTTTCATTCCTATATGATTGTTCATTTGTGCTGCAAACTGGACAAAGCTTATTGTTTGTTGGCCTTCTTTTAGCCTCTATAGAAAATTTAGTGAATCTTTTCAACTAATGTTTTTTTCTCAACTTTTTTTTTCTTTCTATTTTTATCATTACTTTATTATTAAGTGGTGTACCTGTCCCTTAGGTAGGAGCACATACTGAGGTGGAACTTGAAGATCGCAAACTCAGAATTGAGGATGCAAAGAATGCTACATTTGCTGCTATGGAGGAAGGGGTGGTGCCTGGTGGTGGCGCAACATACGTACATCTGTCAGAATTCATTCCTGTCATAAAGAATTCTATGGAAGATACAGATGAGCGGATAGGTGCTGACCTTGTGGCAAAGGTGGGGGTCTCCATTTCTTTCCTTGACTCGCACACACAAACTGGCACATTATTAATGTGCATGCACGCATATGCAGACATGGACACATTTGTTGTTATTTTTGTTTTTGTATTATTTTCAGTTGTGCCTTGTAGGCCTGTACCTTCTTTTATGCAAGTAAGAAGATCTTTCAATGTCTGAACTGCAGGCTCTACTTGCTCCTGCAAAATCAATTGCAACTAATGCAGGGGATGATGGAGAAGTAGTTGTGGAGAAGACTAAAAGTTGTGATTGGAGAGTTGGGTACAATGCAATGAATGGCAGCTATGAAGATCTTCCAGATGCAGGAGTTATAGATCCTTGTAGGGTTTCAAGATGTGCCCTTCAAATTGCAGTCTCCATTGCTGGTGTGGTTCTTACAACTCAAGCTGTATTGGTGGAGAAAACGAGGAAGAAAAAGCCAGCTGTTCCTTTTGTTCCTGGAATAACTCCTCAGTGAATGTAGTCAAGGGAACTAGATGAAAGCTGAGAAAGAGTCCACCTGGACCTTTTTATCCCATGCTTTGCAAAGAAGCTTTGGAACTCAAGTACGACTTGATCTGGATTTAATATGAAGATGAAATAAGCTCTTGAAGTTGTGGAAGAGCTAAAAAGACTCTGTTGCATCAGAACTTCAGTCATGAGAGCTTGAAAATCTGCAGTAAAGAGTTTGCAAAGGTGGCAAAGGTCATCCTTGCAGAGTGTACACCCAAGTTGCAAACTGTATTTCTTCCAATCAAGGTTTTGTTCATTACGAGTTTTGAATAGCATGTAATAAACAGTTACCTTAGTTCATATGCGACAAACAGTTGCTTGTACAGTAGTACCTATGTTTTCATCCCTTTAGTTCATATGGAATAAACATTTGCTTGAACCTTTGTTAACTTTAAAATACATTCAATAGTATGGTTCCCGAATGAAAGTTCTCTTTAGTTAAAGTTGATTATAGCTTTTTTTCCTGGAAAGTTGTTTTGATAATGCTAACTGTTTATCAACTAATTTCTCCCATATTTCTTCAAGAATGTTGCTTTTCCTTTCAATATGTGTAAAAGTCTGTTCTTTGATGAACTTAGGAAACCACTAAGAAAAGGTTGAACTGGTATTTTTTTTTTTTTTCATTGAAAGCAAACTACACTACTTTAAAACTAGGCAGCTTCTTCTTCCAGAGGTGGTCTGTCAGTTTTCCTCCACACACTGCACCTGCATCATTGTCTCTGTCCCAACCTCTTTGTCTGCTTTCTTGTTGAGTAGCAGAGTGATGAGACCATGGGAGCTATTAGGGATTATTTACCCGTGCCTGGAGGACCGCATAGAAGATACTGTCGCTTCCAAACCTTTCCCACCCTTTGATAGAACTCTCTCCTCTTAGCAGACCTATCTAAATCCTCCACAACTGCCATCTTCTGATCTGGGTCCATGGCCAGGGTCTCAAATGTTGCAGAGTTATTTCAAAATTCGGTTTCATCCAATTTGATCTTAGAACCATCTGAACTTGCAAGTGTGCAGCTTCACAATCTTTGCTTCCTCGTTCATGACCTTAAATCTCTCCATTAAATAAGGAAGGCAAGCAGACTGCTCCCCTTTGTCCTTGTGGCCCACGTCAAAGGAAAACTCGAACTCTTTTTTCTTGGACAGGGCATTGAGCTTCCATTTGAGCTCAATGGCTTCATGTGTGTCCTCAAACTGTTGGATAAACTGCCGTTTTGTCTGCTGAGCTTTTAAATGAGATTCAATTTGGGTCCTAAATTTTTATTTTCTAAGCCACTTTTGGTTATGAACTTTTTAAAATAGGTCAAAGTGAGCCACGTTAGTTTTTCAGGGATTCCATCCAAATGGCAATACAAATAACTGTTTAGTCAGATATGGTAACTGAAATACAAGACAATTGTATTGAAATAACATAAAGCTTTCCTAAATTCAATGTGATTCTTTCTATCTGAGTTTAAATTACATGTTTTTCCGAAAACAATATGCCCAATTGTTTATCTCTTACTAAATAAAATATGTTAATTGTTTGTTTTCACCTTCATATTCATCTTCCTCCTGATACTCATCTTTCCCTTGGTTTTTCTTTTGCTTTAACAGTGTGATCAAACCTTGAAGAGCAACTTCAGCCTCCTCACTCTTCATCAGCTGCTCTGCCACTTGTGCAGGAGTGACCTTTGTTTTCTTCAGAAGGCTTTCAATCTCCTCAAACAAAGGGTGCTTCTGTTCACAAGTTCTGAGGTAATTACAAGCCAAAATTTTGAAGCCTTCGTAGGTGCAATACGACATGTGGATGTGCATGTCCATTCGTCCCGAACGCAGCAATGCAGGGTCAAGCTTGCTCTTGTGATTGGTAGTGAACACAACGATTCTCTCCTCTCCACAACTTGACCAAAGCCCATCTATGAAGTTTAGCAGTCCAGATAGTGTAAGCTGTGTGACAAAAGAAAAGCCAATTTAAATAGCACATCAAAGTCAAGCTTAATATACATAACAGAAATTGCCCATGTTACTAAAGAATCTTTCATTGCAGATACAATTTGTAAACTACTAACTTGATTGCCTTCTAACTCAGGCTTTCTGCTGCCATTAGCATTTTTTCGATCTTGCACCCCCGGCTGGCTACAATCTATATCCTCAATAACAAGGATCGACTTGTTTGATGTTGACAGCAATACTTTTCTCAGTTCCATATCTGTTTTCAAATGTGTGAGTTGCAAATCATAAACATCAAACTTGAGGTAATTAGCCATGGCAGCTATTAGGGATGATTTCCCTGTGCCTGGAGGACCATGTAGAAGGTACCCTCGCTTCCAAGCTCTTCCCACACTTTGATAGAACTCTTTCCTCTTAACAAACCTGTCCAAGTCCTCCAAAACCGTTTTCTTCAGCTCTGGTTCCATGGCTACGGTCTGGAATGTTGCGGGGTGTTCGAGATTGATTGCCTCCCATCTTATTTTAAAAGTATCTATTCTCACAAGTGTATGCAGCTTGACAATCTTCCTTTCGTTTTTCATAGCCTCAAATGTCTCTAAAACATAAGGCAAGTACAAATTCATTACCTTTTCCTTGTGCTGCAAATCAAATACAAGCTCAAAGTATTGCTTTTGCTCTAGCTTGAAAGCTGAGGAAGTGCTAGAACTACTGGATCTCTTTGACATGGAATTGAATTTCCATTTCAGCGGAACCCCTTCATACATGTCATCAAACTCTTGGTTGTTTGCAAAGTTGACAGTTAAACTAGTCTCTCTCCAAGTTTGTGAAATCTTCAGAATCTGAGTTGAAGGGCTGATCTTGCTCTGCAAGTAAAGAGCAGAAGCATCATAAACTTTATTTCTAGTACTTGTACCATGGTACTCTTCAATTTGCAGGGTCATGGGCTTAATCAGCCAACGTTTGAAGAAGCCATGGAGGATCAACAGAGGAAATCTCAACATGGGCAGTAAGTAGCAGTCCATGGCCTTGGACCAAACAAGCATCAAGTAAACAACCACATTGGAAGCACAAACTGGAGGTATTTTTTTCAAAGAATCCATGGCTGCCCAAATCCCAAGTAAATCCTAATTTGAAAAGCCTAAATTAGAAATGATCAAAAGAGAAAGAGATACTTGGGTCTGAAAGGTGTTTGTTTGGTACTGTATCTGTATGTGAAGATTGCTTTTGAAGCTCAAAATACTATGAAGAGCAGATGAAGTCTGCGGTCAATGGGGACAATGGGAAGAAGAGTTTTATGGCTATTTCTAAGTCTTCGTCAACAGAATTCTATCTACTAAAGAAAAGTATGTACTATGATGCAAATGAAAGTTTCATTTTCTTGTCATAGCATGACAACAAGACCGCGAGTGCCATGATGAATATTATTTTAATATTTTCTCATGACCGAACCTCACCATTGATTATTTTCTTTTAAAAACTTTTAATAATATGAGCTCCATTTACAATTAAAAATTGAAAACAAATAAATAATATTTTATTTGACATTTGGAAAGGATTTAATAACATTTTGCATGAAATCTCCATCAAGATGCTCTTACTTGTCGTTCTCTTCTTTTTGCTTTACCAAAGCAATTCCCAGAAAATGACGAACAACGAAATGAAAGCACCAAAAAAGGACTGAAAAATCAAAGAAAACAAATAATCATATGAGTTATTTACACTAAGGCCCGTTCAGTAATGTTTTAGGAGAATGTTTTATGAGAATATTTTATGAGAATGTAAACAAGAAAACGAATTTGCATTTTCAAGATTCGAAAATGCGTTTGGCAAATTAATTGGAAAACAAATTCAGAAAATAAAAACAGTGAAAACATATATGGTAATACAATTTGAGAATAATAATACGTGAGTTGTTTTTTAGGTGTATTTTTGCTAGTTTCAGTACTAATTTTTTTTTAATTATGATATTTTTAGAGGCTAAAATTATTATAAACAATAATAAAAAAAATTAAAGCCCAAAAACTCTCTTATCTCCTTTCTTTTTTCTTTCTTTCTTTCTCCTTTTTCTCCTTTTTTCTCTTTCCTCCACTTTTCTTCTTCCTTTTCTTCGCATGGCCGTTTCTTTTTTCTCTTTTTCTTCCTCTTTTGTTCTTCCTTTCCTTCCCAAGGCCATTTATTTTTTCTCATTTTCTTCCTTTTTTCTTCTTCCTTTCCCTCCTAGGCCGCACCCACTCCTCCTTCCTTTCATGGCATGAATCCCATAAACCCACCTCTCTCTCTCTCCCTCTCTCTCTCTCTCTCTCTCCAAGGACGAACCCAGGATTTCAAAATGGGGTGGGCTAAATTTACTTTACTTACAAATCTGCTAAAAGGTTAGAAAACTCGATGATATGAGCGAATTTCATTGATAACAAAAGAATACATAGAGGGACTTAAAAAGCCTATCCCCTCAAAATGCATATAGCATATGTACATAGAAACTAGTAAGAAAAAAAGTCAAGAAATAAACATGCAATTCAAATATAAATAACACTTATATAAGTTGCACCTTTCCTAGTCTTCACAAAATTAAAATAATTAATTATTGATTCATTATCTATATTATGAACAAATTCTATTTGATACAATTAAGAACACCAAAATCAATTGCAAATCATATTTGACAATTCAACAAATCAAGCTGAAGGATGGTCTGTTACGAAGAGCAGAAGTTGGCTAAGCTAAAGGATGGTCTACTGCGCAAGAGACAATGATTTGTAGGGTTAGTTAATGAGATTTTATTTAGGTAGGATAGGGGTATATGAGGATTGCTTGGGTGGTCTAGGGTATTAATTTGAGCTATAAAATATCAAGTGACCTGGGCTATAGCCCACATTACCTAGCCCATAAGACCCTCTCTCTCTCTCTCTCTCTCTCCTTCCACTAATTAATGGTTGTGGTGGTTCGATTGGGTGATGAAAGTGGTTGAGCTGGATATGTGGTGATTCTTCTTCCTATCTCTGTTTTCTTTTTCTTTTTCTTCTTCCTCTGTATTTTTTTCTTTTTAGTTTGCAAATTTGTGTGATTTTGGGTTGGAGAATATGGGTGTTGTTCCTGTTGGTGGGTTTATCGGTTGTCAAGAGAGAGAGCTAAAATTATTGATGGGATGCATTCTCGTGTCTTCAGAAAACACTGAAACAACTTTTTATTGTTTTCAACTTTTGTTCACAAAGTTAGATTTGTTTTCATAAAAAGTTTTGTGAGAGAAAACGAAAACGATGCACCGAACGTGTATTTGAGAAAAATATGAAACAAAAACAAAAAAGGGGCTCTAAAAACATTACCGAAGGAGCCCTAACATTCCCTCAGATTTTCAGCTTTTTTATAAAATTCTCTGAGGTTTCATAAATTATAAGAATACCACTTGATTGTTTTCACAAAACTCATTTTTTTCAATTGTTCATCCAAAACTTGATGATTTTACATTAAAAATTTCTCCAAATGATAAAGTTAGCCTTTGAGATTAGATTGCATATACATTCATTGAGGTTGATTTTGTCATTTGGTATTAACTTGTGTTCCTAGCGACTTATATAATTAAAATCAATTTCAAGTCTCTACACATGGAAAACAAGAATGGTACCATCTTTCACCAAAAGGAATAATCACATAATAGGCTTAAGATTTTATAAAATTTAAGTATTCATAATAAATATTAAATAAAGAAAAACCATATTAATAAATAATTAATATGTAGTATGAATATTTCTTTAAAATAATGGCCTTGGACCAAACAAGCATAACAACCACATTGGAAGCACAAACTGGAGGTATTTTTTTCAAAGAATCCATGGCTGCCCAAACCCAAGTAAATCCTAATTTGAAAAGCCTAAATTAGAAATTATCAAAAGAGAGAGACACTTGGGTCTGAAAGGTGTTTGTTTGGTACTGTATCTGTATGTCAAGATTGCTTTTGAAGCTCAAAATACTTTGAAGAGCAGATGAAGTCTGCGGTCAATGGGGACAATGGGAAGAAGAGTTTTATGGCTATTTCTAAGTCTTCGTTAACAGAATTCTACCTACTAAAGAAAAGCACGTACTATGTTGCAAATGAAAGTTCCATTTTCTTGTCATGATGAATGTTATTTTAGAGGAATTTAAAAACCGCAAGTGCCATGATGAATGTTATTTTAATATTTTCTCATGACCGAACCTCACCATTGATTATTTTCTTTTAAAAACTTTTAATAATATGAGCTCCATTTACAATTAAAAATTGAAAACAAAAAATAATATGTTATTTGACATTTGGAAAGGATTTATTAACATTTTGCATGAAATCTCCATCAAGATGCTCTTACTTGTCGTACCCGATATTTCTTTTGCTTTACCAAAAGCAATTCCCAGAAAATGACAAACAACGAAATGAAAGTACGAAAAAGGACTGAAAAATCAAAGAAAACAAATAACCATATGAGTTATTTACACTAATGGCCCGTTCGATAATGTTTTTGGAAATTTTTTTTGAAAATATTTTATAAGAATGTAAACGAGAAAACGAATTTGCATTTTCAGGATTCAAAAATGCGTCTGGTAGATTAATTGGAAAACAAATTCAGAAAATAAAAACAGTGAAAACGTAAATGGTAGTACAATTTGAGAATAATATACGTGAGTTGTTTTTTAGGTGTATTTTTGCTAATTTCAGTTCTAGTTTTTTTAATTATGATATTTTTAGAGGCTAAAATTATTATAAACAATATAAAAAAAATTAAAGCCCAAAAACTATCTTATCTCCTTTTTTTTCTCCTCTTTTTGCTCATTTTCTATCTTTCCTCCTTTTTTCTTCTTCCTTTTCTTCGGATGGCTGTTTCTTTTTTATCTTTTTGGGCTTGTCCAATATAGATCCCTACATTTTCTATTTCCTAGACGTATACCCATCACTCTATAAATTTATGTGTAAAACCCAATTTCAAATTTAAATGACTAGTATGATATAAGAGGTCGTAGTATTTCTATGTTTTTACATCATTGCCACCAAACTTCATATTTTATTTATAATTTATTTCAAGCATTTCATTAACTGTCATAATTGTAATTAATATACTCCCTATTAATAGCATATCAATCACCCCATTTCTTTTAGTTGTCATTCCCTCTTACATCTCGCCCCCTAAAATTACAAACAAACAAAAAAATAAAATATAGGTACATTATTTACCCACAGGTAAATTATTTTACAATATACCTGTAAATGTGTATAGGTACATTATTTGGAATAGATAATTATGTACACTTTTCATATTAGGTAAATTATGTTTTTCATAAAACGAACAAGTAATAGGTACATTATTTTTTCAACATAATTAGTAGGTACAGTTTTATTCATAAACAATTATAAAGTGGATTATTAGTCATGTATAATTCATAAAAAGAAAATAACATAAACATTTTATTAAACAAACCGATTACCTAAATTTGAATTTATTGTTAAATTTTTTTTAAAATGTTTCAAAATTAATTCCTACATCCATTACAACCATTTGGAGAACTTTCCAAATTCAACATCTGTCATTATATACAATCCAATTAAAAACTGTTTCCATATTGATTCCTACATTAACATACAAAATGCAATAATGGCTTAGTTGGGGGTATTTTTGGAATCTGAAAAGTACAATAAATCAGATTTTATGCTTAATTAGGTAACTTGCTGAGTTGGATCTTAGTCATGAGTTTTTACTTATACAAATTGGGTATTATTTATAGGAACAAAAAGTGAAGGGTTTTAGGTACGGCAAATTGAATTTGAAGGGTGTAAGCCAAATTTACTATATCTTTTTCTTCCTTTTTCCTTCTTTCTTCCTCTTTTCTAGTTCCTTTCCTTCCCAAGGCTGTTTATTTTTTCTCCTTTTCTTCCTCATTTCCTTCCCAAGCCGCACCCACTCCACCTTCCTTCCATGGCATGAATCCCATAAACCCACCTATCTATGTATCTATCTATCTATCTATCTATCTCTCTCTCTCTCTCTCTCTCTCTCTCTAGGGATAGACCTAGGATTTTAAAATGGGGTGGGCTAAATTTACTTTACTTGCAAACCTGCTAAAAGGATAGAAAACTCGATGATAAGAGAGAATTTCATTAGTAACAAAAAAATACACATAGGGACATAATAAGCCTAACCCCTCAAAATGCATATAGCACATGTACATAGAAACTAGTAAGAAAAAAAGTCAAGAAATAAACATGAACAAATTCTATTTGATACAAGTAAGAACACCAAAATCAATTACAAATCATATTTGACAATTCAACAAATCAAGCTGAAG